CCTCCCCCAGTCTAGCAGGTCAGGAACCCTGGGTGATTTCTTTCCTCTTACCCTTCCCTTCCGGCCCCCAATTCTGCGTGCCCCTTTGCTGGTTGCCTCCTTGAGCAGCTCTCACTCCTGACCACCAAGCCCAGTCCACAAACAGCAGGGTATCTGTCAGGTGAGTCGAGACCCGGTCTGCATTGGCTGAGGGGGTGCAGAAGGGTTGTGGATGGGTGGAAGCGAGAGTGTATCTTAAGAGGTAGGAGGGCGATATGGAGCGTGTGGCAGTTTCTGGTCTGAGGGACGTGGCCAGCCGCGGGAGGCCCTCCCATTTCAAATTGTCAGGACCGTTAAAACCGTTAATCGCGTGCGGCAGTGGGGCGGGGCCAGAGGACAGAGGGTGATCCTCATTGGTCAGAGCTGACCTGGGGGCGGGGCCGCGCACGCTTAGGTACCTCTGTCAGGACCCAGCAAGCCCTCGGTCAAATCAGCGCAGCCCCAGGGCGCATGCCGGCTGTCAGAGGTGGAGAATGGGGGTCTGGATTGGGCCAACTGGGAGGGTGGAATGCAGGGGGCGGGGCGGGGGGGTGGTTTGAGGAAGGGGGACCTTAGGGGGACTTGCGGAACCTTTGAGCATTATCCCGGACTTAGAGTTTTGCGAGACCATGGGTTCTTCACTTGAGCCTTGCCTCGGAGTTCGCAGCCGCCCTTTCTTCCCTTATGACTGAAGGCGCTTTGGCTCGTCAGAGACCTCTGTGGTCATCCTTAGTTGTTTTTGTCAGATTTTCTGGGGGCCGCCCCTGGGGAGACACAAGGCCCGGAAGCCAGGGTGGAATGGGAAGCCCACTTGGATGATTATTATGAAAAGTCCCTAAGAGGCTCTGGGAAGGACGTCGGAATGATGTCTAGGAGCCCAGCGCGTGTCTCCTGGATGAGGAGAGCTATAATGAGAGAGGAGTCTGGATGAATTTGAGGGCCTGGTCAAAGCCAGAGAGGCCACGAAGTCTGAAGCAAAGATCAGCGTTTCCTGTGACGACTGGAGGCTCAGGAGGGGTCTCAGAAGGACTCTACGGGGAGGTGCAGACAGGGTGGGAGGGAGGGGCTCTGCCCTTCAGGGCCGTCTCCAGCACACTCGGTCCTCTGCTACCCACCTCGGGACCCTGTGGGAACAGTTGCATCCCTGCTTACACTCAACCTTCCCTTCCTTAGCTTCCTTAAGTAGGAGTGGGAAATGAGAGGAGGAGGAAACCCTGCCCTGGACCGTTTTCAGTGTGTGCACTCAAGTTCCTTTACCGCAGAAAGACCAGTGTCCTAGCTGAGGAGGGTTACCTCGTTACTACTAGTGTTGTAACAAAGCGCTCTGCGAGGAGCGCCTTCGGCAGATGGCTTTTTGCTTTCTGGGAACTTAAGCCTCTAGAGGTAGGAGACTGGTAAATGCACAAGACGGATAAACCTGAGACTGAGCACCTCAAGTCCCATGTGGTTCTTAGCCCTAGTCAAAGGGTGTAATCATGGGATTTCTTAAACACGTTTAAGAAACCTCTTAATAAGTTAAGTTTGGGGCCCTCCTTGGTGGCGCAACGGGTTAAAGAGCAGCACCATTAAGTGGCCCGCAGCCACTGTAGCAGAGCTGGAGTCCCCACTGGGGAGGTGACCCACAATGTGCAGCACCTTCTCCCGACCCTGCTGTTCCGTGGGCTGCTCCCCTCATCAGTGTATTTCAGTCAGGCTGCATGTTCGGCTTCCCACTCTGTCTCTGGTGAATCCTCTGTAGATAAATAAATCTTTAAAAAAAAGAATGTTAGGTCTGAAACCCTGGAAGAAGTCATTCTAATTCCCAAGCCACAGAATATATAACTTACTCTCTATCAGCATAAATAGAAATGACAGTTAGTAGACAATATAGCATCTAGGTAATGCCTAGTAACAATGTCCTTAGTATTCTTGTAGTGATTTGTATAAAATGGTTTGAATTCTAAAGATCCACTCTAGAAGGGGAAATTTCTGCTAGTGTGGTTGGGAGAAAACCCAAGACTATCAAAAAATAACCATGAGAATCTGGAATCCTTTATTTACTTAAATATAACACTTCTTTTTATCTTTTAAGGAGTTTTATATTCATGCAAGAACTAGGGTAGAGACCAGAGTGGGGGATGGGTGAGGGGATTCACCAGAGGGAGAGTGGGGAGCAGAACAGGCAGATCCACTGAAATACACTGCTGAGGGGAGCAGTGAGTGGGACAGACCGGTCTGCTGCACCATGTGGGTCAGCTCCTGTCTGGGTGGAGAGCTTCCTGGTGCTGTGCTTACCCATTGTCCATGAGAGAGGGCCCTAAATATAACACCTTTAATAAAATATGCAGTAAATGTGCAGATTTAGGTACTTGAAGTATATATAACTCTTGTACATATTCTGTTAGATTTATACTTAAGTATTCAATCTGAAGGGGGAGTGCTAATATAAATGGTACTGTGGTTCAAATTCCATTTTTCATTGTTCATACGTGTAAATAAGTGTTTGACTTTTATATGTTAATCTTTATTCTGAAATGTTGCTATAATCGTTTTTCTATTCTTTTGGATTTTGAATAGCTCTGAGCAAAGACAATTTTATTTCTTTTTTTCTTACATGTACATTTTAATTTCCTTGTTTTATTTCATTAGCTAGGACATCTAGTGTAATGTTATGGTTAGAAGAGAGGGGACATCCTTGCTTTGTTTCTGGTTTTATTTAGAAAGCTTTTAGTTTCCCACTATTAAGCATGATGTTAGCTTTGGGGTTTTTGTAATGTTTTCTATCAAATTAAGGAAGTTCTGCTCTATTTCCTACTTTTTGAGAGTTTTTTTTTTATTATGAATGAGCATTTTTGTCAAATATTTTTTGAAAACTATTGATATGCTCATATCATTCTCTTTCTTAAGCTAGTTCTTCTGCTAATGTAATGGGGTATATTAACTGACTTCCAAATGTTCAACTAGCCTAGCATGTCTAGAATAAAACACATGTTAGCATTGTGTATAATTCTTTTTTTTTTTAAGATTTATTTATTTGTTCATACAGAACTGGGGTATAGGCCGGAGGCTCAGGGGCGGTGAGAGGCTTCACCAGAGACAAAGTGGGGAGCAGAACAGGCAGATCGACGAAGTACACTGCTGAGCGGAGCAGCGGGCAGGTCAGGAGAAGTCTGCCATGCCATGTGGTCACCTCCAGGACAGGCGGGAATCGAACTCAAGCGGAAGTGGCTTTAGCTTCTCAGTGCTGTGCTTTAACCCACTGCGCCACCAGGGAGGGCCTATATAATTCTTTCTATAATTTTGGATTGAATTTGCTAATATTTTATTGAGGACTTTGCATCTATGTTCATGAGAGTTTTTTGTTTTTTGTTTTTTGTAATGTCTTTGTGTGATTTTGGTATTAGGGCAATGCTAGCCTTATTGAATGAGAAAGTTTGCCCTCTACCTTTTGGAAGAGATTGTAGAAAATTGATATAACTTCCTTCCTCCTTAAATGTCTGGTAGAATTTGCCTGTAAACCCATTTGTACGTGATTGTCTGTTTTAAAAATAAATTTTCCTTAGTTTTCATCTCAGTGAGGTATTTTATTAGTTTGTTTACATTGTGTAAAAGTAATATTGCACTGAACTTCTTTAAAGTAGTCTTCAAAGAAGAAATTTTCACTACGTTCGATGGGATTGAGACAAAATTATTATCTTGGCATTTACCTTCACAAACTTAAAAACAGGGATAACAATAATACCTGCCTTACAAAATCATTAACCTTATATCCTGCAACACAGCTAGTAGAACTGCCTGGTATATGTTGTGAAAATGGTATTGCCCTGTTTAGACCTTTATCCTGTGTTCTACTCTTAACATTCTTATAAAACATATGTCTATATTCCTAAATGCACCTATATGTCTATACTCCTAAATGCACCTATTTAATAGAAAATTAGAAAACTTCAATGTAACATTCCTCTTAACAAGGTTAAATTATATAAAAAATATACTAAAATATTTTCATTTGTTCAGAACTTCTGTTTCATTTTATCTAGGTCTATGTTGGGACAATAATGTTTGATTAGTTATAGCTACTATATATGTGAAATCCTTTTCTGATGCCCTCAGTGATAACATTTATAAACATAAATGTTTCGTGAGATAAAGGAGAAAGACAAATTTTAGAATTGGGGTTGTTTCAAAGACTGTAGCATGAGTGTTAGATTGACAATGAACAAAGTAGGCAACTATTTCTAAGGGGTGTGGGAAGGCATTTTTACCCAAAGCACTGCTTTTTATCTACTTCTTTAGTGCCCAAACTCCATGACTTTCTTGACATTCTAGTATCCTATGGTCTGGAAAGAACTCATTCTTGGGCCCTCCTTGATGGTACAACAGATTAAAGGGTGGCACTATGAAGCTATCCACAGCCACTGAAGCACGAGTTCGATCCCCAGCCACAGAGGTGACCCACATGGCAGAGGTGACTCTCCTGTCCACCCACTGCTCCTCTCAGCAGTGTATTCCAGTCAATCGGCTTGTTCTACTCCCCACTCTGTCTCTGGTGAATCCTCTCGTGTCCCTGCACCTCTGACTTGTATTCCAGTTCTTGTTTGCATAGATAAATAAATCTTAAAAAAAAAAAAAAAGAATTCCTATTCTTGGGAGTGGTTACAGTCATTGCATCAGACAATGAAAGATGAGGTTTATTTGTCCTTTCCTAAAAGTAGAGTATTAGTAGGGTGGTAAGTAAAAAAGGAAAAACAGCAGAGGATGGAAGGCAAATTTACCATTTCATGGTGAGTATTAAGAAAGGGAAAGTTATATGCTGTTTAATAGCAAAATACATGTTTCTGGTACATAGGTAATGATAATCATCACCAAATGTATAGGTACATAACTGTTGAAATGTCTTAATTTATTTATATGAGTCATGAATAAAGCAACAGTTGGGGAAAATTATACTATATTAATGTTTTAAATTAATATTTCTTCTTTTTAATAGGGATAACCATAAGAAATGAATTTTAATGTCTGGAATATCAAAGAGATGCTTAGTATTCCCTCAGGCTCTATGTAAGTATTATGGCTATAATTTCTGATACATATTTTTTAAAGATATATTTACCTATACGTATAGAACTGGGGTACAGGCCAGGGGTGTGTGTTTGGAGGTGTGCGAGGACTCACCAGAGATAGAGTGGGGAGCAGAACAGGCAGTTGACTGAAATACACTGCTAAAGGGAGCAGCAGGCAGGTCAAGAGAGGTCTGCCACACCATGTGGGTCACCCCTCTGGCTGGGGATCATGCTGCAGTGACGTGATAGCTTCGTAGTGCTGTGCTTTAACCCACTGCACCACCAAGGAGGGCCCTAAAAGGATTTTATAGGGGCCTCCCTGGTAGTACAAGGGGTTAAGTCTCAGCACAATGAAACTATCTGCAGCATGGGTCGAGGTTTCCTGGCCAGAAAGCTAGCCCAAATGGTGCAGCAGACCTCTCCTGTCCCACTCACTGTTCCCCTCAGCAGTGTATTTCATCAGCCTGCCTGTTATGCTCCTGACTGTCTCTGGTGAATCCTTTCACCACCCTTCCCATACCTCAGGCCTACACCTCAGCTCTTGTATGCATAAATAAATAGAATAAATCTTTGTAAAAAAGGATTTTATAGTAACATTGATTTAATAGAAAGAGGTTCCCATCTTACTAGATAATAATAACAGGATTACCCCATATAACTTCTAGACTTTCTCTCCCCTTTCCCTGTCACCACTATACTTTTCCATACTTGTTTTTTTCCTACTGCCTATTTCCTGATTATAAAGGTAATGTCATTTCAGCTCTAAGTTAATCAATCAATCACAGGCTACTATGAGGCCTATGAGACTTAGATGTGGTACAACATATTCTTACCTCAGTTGGAGCAATTCTATTGAAACAGAAAGGAGCAAAATCAAGATTTGTATTCAATTGTGTGTTACAGTTTGTAGGTGGTATGGAGTTATACATTATTTCACCCAGGAACTTTCATTGATGTACATTATCCATGCAGTAGGCCTACTCTTGCTAATATGGTGGGTGTGCCCTGTAAGTAGTATATATTTAAGGGATTTCTAATTGCTTTTGATATGTTTTTATCATTAAATAGTTTCTTTTCTCTTAAAAATGTTCCTAAGGACAGTTATTAATTCTGCAAAAACCTAGAACACTGTTCTGCTTAATTATCAAAATGTAAAATAAGTACTTTTTCCTACACAGCATAGGAAAAAAATCTATGTTTAGTTCTAGATCATTGTTTTAAGATGTAAGTCCTACATGATTTCTATAAGCTCACTGAGCCAGGTCTTTTTTTTCTAGTATAGATAATTTTCTCTTTGACCTATAGGAGCTATTTAGCTATTTTGAGCAATGATTATTCAACCTATTGTTATACTGCAACACAATATTATATGTGTGTAGTCCATTACCTTAGCTAATCTTAGAAAATGGTTTTATAATTTAAAATAATTGTTCTTCCCTGTGCTAAACTATTTGGGATATTTTGTTAGCCTCTTATTAGGATATAGAGATTCCTGTAGTATATAATATGTACTTATACACTACCTAGTTTAAATGTAATATTTGGAAGAGAAATTACTCATTTATACTTTAATGAGAAATATGTTTTTCTCAGGTTACACAATATTAAGTATCGCAATTGTTATTGATATATATTTCAAATAAAGCCTAAAGACTGGCTTTTACTTGTCTGCCTACATGCATGTTGTCTCCGTAGTAGGCTCAGTATACTTGTTCAAGTGTGACTCTATCATTATTACTATTCCCATCATATGTGAGGTTTAAAGATTGATGCAGATATCCAGGAGAAGCAAGATGGAAGTCCACAGTTGGATGTATTGTTTTAGATTTTCATAAATGTATTACATTTTTTGCTTTGCTAACTTGAGAAAAGGACAAATTGCTACAAAACTTTTGGCTAAGCAGTTGCCTTGCTTTTCCCAAGACAGGAAAATAATTTAACTCTAAATGTAACATTAGGTATATTTCTAAACAGAAGCCTGTATTAATTTTTGTATTTCTGAATACTCAGACTTAGTTCAGATGAAGAAAAAATTAGTATTTAGAACTTTCTTAAAATAACCCCTTCTGGGCCCTCCCTGGTGGCACAATGGGTTAGGACCCACTTCAGTGAGAGTTCGATCCCCATCCCCAGAGGTGATCCACATGGCATGGCAGGCCTCTCCTGACCTGCCCGCTGTTCCCTTCAGCAGTGTACTTTGTCAATCTGCCTGTTCTGCTCTCCACTCTGTCTCTGGTGAATTTTCTCACTACCCCTATGCCTCTGGCCTATACCCCAGTTCTGTATGCATAAATAAATAAAAAAAGAGAGAAAGAGAATATCCATATGATTAGTGAATAATTTCACTAATTAATGAATAATTTTAAGGTGCATTAGTTTAAAACACAGCTGAACACACACACACACATATCAGACTAAAATTAAATGATTGTCAGTACAAGGTGATGAAGATGTTTGAGCAGCAGGCATTCTCATCCATTGCTGGTGGGAGTGTGAACTGCTATAACCATTTTGGCAGAAGGTTGATGAATTTGCTAAATTTTTTTATTTACTTATTTGTAATTTAATTTTTGTGTGGTCACAGTAGTCCTCCTCACCATCAAAGCACCCACAGTCTGTTGCCACATTCCCTTGTGCTCTCCCCACACACAGTTTTCACTCTCCTGAACCTTCCACTCCCCCTCTTCACATGGATGCCTCATATCTATGGTCAACTTTCAAAATTTGTCTTTGTCTAGCCCTTTGTTGTTTTCTATATTTCACATATAAGTGAAACCATTGATACTTATCTTTTTCCTTCTTATTTTGCTTAGCATCAACCCTTCTAGTGCCACCCCTGTTGCTGCACGGATGCCACAAATGGCATGAATGTATCTTTTTTGATTACTGAGTAGTATTTCACTGTGTATCTGTGTGTGGCTTCATAGTGCTGAGACTTAATCCTTTGTGCCACAGGGAGTCCCTCTAGGTCATTGCTTCTGACTTCCATCAGTTACATGCACATACCATGTTTTTGAAATCTACTCAATTAGTGATAAACAGATTAAATTTATCAAAGGATAATATATTCTTAATCTGAGTTTTACAAATTTTGATCTCCAAACTGGTATTATGTCCATGGTGCTGTTGTACAAGAAATAAATGTGTTAATCATTAATGTCTGAATTTCTATCTGGTTATTCCTGGGTTATTGTAATAAAAGTGTTTCCATTAAAAATTGCTTCGTGTTTCTGTATAAGTTCTAGCAGTGTGTAGTGAACTAGGAGGTCAGAACAAGTTAGCACTTTGTCCAGAATATTCTGAAATGAATAATTGTGATTTATGATTTTATTTGTTTAGAACATTTGTCAGTTTGACATACTTTTCTTCCTTAACTTCAGTGCCACTAAGTCTTCTAGTTGGAATAATAATCAGACTGATTACTCCAGCCTCAGTGATTCTCAGTTCCTCTTTGGATCCCAATTTTGTCCAGAAAATTCAGAGAGCCTCTCAGCGCCACTGGATTTTGGTATCCACTTGAGACAACCGAAGCTATCACAACAAAATTCTTTGGATGTGAGTCTGATTTCCAGATTTCTCTATACACATTTCACAGTTATTATGGAGATAAATTATAAAGAAGACTTACTCTGTTGTAGTATATGTAGGAATTTTATATCTCTAAGGATTAATTTTCTAGGTAGATTTGTTCTTGATTGGTGTTTCATTTGACTTGCTAGTCTGAAATGAAAAAACTATTATACTTAAACCTCTATTCTAGTTTGCACTTTCTTCTTTCTACTGGAAATGTAGAATAATGTCACTACTTTCTTCTCCTAGGAAGCCAAATATTGCTTGGCATTTTCTAAGACTAGTCATACAGTTGTCTGTGAAAATTTCATAAGAAAAAAAAAAAGAACTTTAGTAAAGTAGTAATAAAATAACAAATTTTGTTTTAGATCAGTATTTTTTCCTAAGAAATTTCAGGTGCTCATGGATTTCAGTCTACTATTCTGTATTAACTCCTTGAAGAAATGAGGTTTCTGAGACTTAAATTAATGAATAAGGGCCAATAACAACAAAAAAACTTCTTGGGCCCTCCCTGGTGGCACAGTGGGTTGAGGCACAGCACTGTGAAGCTGTCTGTGGCCGCTACAGCTCAGGTTTGATCCCAGGCAGGGAGGGAATCACATGTTGTAGAGACCTCTCCTGACCTGCCTGCTGCTCCCCTCAGCAGTGTATTTCAGTGGATGTTTTTTCTGCTCCCCACTTTGTCTCCAGACAATCCTCTCACCACCCCCTCACCCCCCCCATACCTCTGGCCTGTGTGCCAGTTCTTGAATGCATAAATAAATAATTTTTTTATAGAAAAAAAACCCAAAACACTTCTTTAGTGCTTGAATTTTGAGACCAGTCTGTTTTTTGCTTTTGAGTCAGAAATATTTTTATTTATTTATTTTTGTTCTAAAACTACTAGCTTAAGTTTATACACATCAATAGAAAAAAATGAACAAGCTTAGGGTATGCTCAGGGAGAAATATTTTTCTACAAAAATTGGTACCCAGGGCCTCACTGGTGGCACAGGGGTTAAAGTCACAGTACTGTCAAGCTATCATCAGCCTTTGTGGCATGAATTTAATCCCAGGTCAGGGTTCTAACCCACATGGGGCAACATATCTCCAGTCTCACCTGCTGTTTCCCTCAGCAGTGTATTTCAATAGAGCTGCCTGTTTTGCTTCCCACTCTGTCTCTGGTGAATCCTCTCACACACATTCTAGCCCCCCCCCCCACATACCGTCACACGTCTGGCTTCCATCCCAGTTATTGTATGCATAAATAAAAGAAAATAATCTTTAAAAAAGATTTATTTATGCATGCAGAACTGGGGTACAGGCCAGAAGTGCAGGAATGAAAGTATTCACCAGAGACAGAGTGGGGAGCAGAACAGGCAGGTTGACAAAGTACACTGCTGAGGGAAGCAGTGGGTGAATCAGGAGAGGTCTGCCATGACATGTGGGTCAGCTCCCTGGTTGGTACTGAACTCATGCTGAGGCAGCTGCCACTAGCTTCTAACCTGTTGCACTACCAGTGTGAGCCCCAAAAATAAATCTTGGGGAAAAAAATTGGCACCCAGTAATATAAAGCAGTAAATGTATTCTCTGAATATTTCAGAGCAAGTTTTGCCTAAGAATGCAGGAAATGGCTTATCAAGTACCAATATGGCCAGTGTCAAATTCATGTTAAATTTATCAATAAATATAGTTTACCAGCAGTTGAGCAACAGCAGGTTAAGTTAAACTAATTAATATGTCTTTAACACATTTTCTCAGTGTATAAGTAATTGTTTTCTTGCCTTAAATTTATGCAATTGACTTTAAGCCATTTTGTCACCACGTGGCAGGGGACCCTAAACTGGTCAAGGCCCCACTGCCCAAGTATTTTCCCAAATACTTTCTGGGATCTTCACCCCTGTGCACAAATGCAAGAGTGCTCAGGTTCAGGAAACAACAAAGGGAATTATTTAACAAACAGGATAAACAAGAGTTACTGAGGCCAATAATGGCCCTTTGCTTTACCCAAAGTCGTGTCCAGTACTGTCCTGCACAAAGACCGTTGTGATGGTGTCTTCCCACCACTGATGATGTGCGGCTACTCTCCCAAACAATGGGCCACCAGTCTAAGGTGGCATCGCATCTTCCTGCCTCTACAGACCTGAGGCACACGGCAACCAGTCTCCAGGCCAGGTTCCAACTCACAAAGACAACAGGAGACGCTCCCAGAGCTGCAGGACGCTCCAGCACAGCACCAGAAAAGTGACACTCAGGACAGCAGCCACAGTGACCAAAGACCTGACAAAACGGCCTCACTCCCACAGCTGAGCCAGGCTGTATCCCCAGCAAAACCAAGTACTCTCTTTCAGTAAAAGTAGCTACTCGCAAAGCCTCTTCCTCGGGCCTCCACCTTCAGAGGTCCGCTGCGCCCTTCTCCAAGATCAGCCTGGTCCCGGGGTTCAAAGCCACTGGCCCCCAAAATCCTGAAGCAAAAACAGTCCCCGTACTTCCTCCCCAAGATAGCCCCTCTTCAAAATCGAGGCTGTTTTGTCTTCACACCCTGAGGGGCAACTGGAAAAAAAAAAGGAAGGAAAAAGTTTGTTTGTCTAGGCTCCAGGATTTTAGGTTGGAGTTGCTTCAGGATTTTGAACCCCGGGGACCAGGCTGGGGATATAGCCTGGCTCAGCTGTGGGAGTGAGGCCGTTTTGTCAGGTCTTTGGTCACTGTGGCTGCTGTCCTGAGTGTCACTCGTCTGGTGCTCTGCTGGAGCATCCTGCAGCTCTGGGAGCGTCTCCTGGCCTGGAGTCTGCCTGTATCATCAGTGGTGGGAAGACACTATCACAACGGTGTTTGTGCAGGACAGTACTGGACACGACTTTGGTAAAGTAAAGGGCCATTATTGGCCTCAGTAACTCTTGTTTATCCTGTTTGTTAAATAATTCCCTTTGTTGTTTCCTGAACCTGAGCACTCTTGCAGTTGTGCACAGGGGTGAAGATCCCAGAAAGTATTTGGAAAATACTTGGGCAGTGGGGCCTTGACCAGTTTAGGGTCCCCTGCCACCTGGTGACAAAAGTAGTGATTATTATATAAACATTTCTCTGTATGAAAAGTTATAAAGATTTTTCTTTAACAGAGTGAACCTAGTATTTTCACAAAGTACCAGACAAAACCACAGCTGTTTGGAGGAGATGCAAAAGATGCAGGCTTATGTCCTCTTCCTTCATCAGTTGGAAAATCAAAAGGCCTCTTGGAACAGTTTGAGGAGAAAAAACAAAGGGCAAAAGATAAATGTGACAGGTATGCAAACCTTTAAAATGAATAATGTCTTATTTTTTCTGAAGCACACAGAAAATGGAAAGTTTAATAGCCAACTAACTGAATTTCAACATGATAATACTCTTGTCTTTAACAGCTCATTTAATAATTATTCTTTATTTGCTTTGTTAGTAATGTGATTCATGACAGATTTGGATAGGACAACCACAATTTTGGTCCCTCTGAAAAGGAAAAGCTATTGAACTTCTTAGAGAAAGTCAGTACTCAATTAATGTTATATTTATTCTGCCTTTTAATTTCTTTTCTTTTCAGATAAGCAAGATAAGGATATTAGATAACACTTGTTTCAGCATCAAGAATATAGCACATGAATTCTCATGTCATCGTTCAAGATGATTTTCTCAATTTGAAATGTTCATATTTTTAAAGCCATATCCTAAATTTTTATATACTCTTAAATGTTAATGTCAGTTTTTAAAAAGATTTATTTATTTATGCATATAATAACTAGGGTCTAGACCAGAGGTGCTGGGGGTAAGAGGATTCACCAGAGACAGTGGGGAGCAAAAAAGGCAGATCTACTAAAATACACTGCTGAGGGAAGCAGCGGGAGAGTCAGGAGAAGTCTGCTGTTCTATGTGGGTCCCCTCTCTGGCTGGGGATGGAACCCAGGCTGAGGCTGTGCTAGCTCTGACACTTGACTCCTGTCCCACCAACGAGGCAGATACCTCACTCACTCTTAGCACATTTGGGAATCAATATTCCAACATTATACTACATCATACAAATTAAATACCTTTATATATAATTTAATATTAAAATATTTTATAGTTAACTGATAGGTCCCTTGTTATATTAACTATTATATTTTATTGTTTATAACATTATAAGGTTTCAGGTTGTATACCTTATAAATCACCATCTGTATATAGTGTTTACCACCAAAATTCTAGTTTTTATCTATAACCATACAGTTGACCCTTTTTACTAGTTTAATCGCCTATATTTCCTCTTCCCTTCTCATAACCACTATTTTGTTCTTATCGTCAAAAGACTTTTGTTCTGTTTGTTTTGGTTTCTTTATCTACTACACATGAGTGAAAACATATGGTATGTTTTCTCCACCTGACTTATTTCACTAAGCATAATACCGTCTTGTTCCATTCATGTTGTTGCAAATGGCAGGATTTCATTTTTTTAAAAAATAGCTGAGTAGCACTCTGTGTGTATATATATATATAGATAGATAGATAGATAGATAGATAGATTTTACAGTCCAAAAATTTATTTTTGTGTTATTTAGCTCATCTGTTTGTTTTCTCTGTATACTACATGAGTTAAAACATATGGCATTTGTCTTTCTCTGTCTGATTTATATCACTAAGCATAATTCCCCGTAGGTCCATCCATGCAGGTCCAACCATGGGCAGGATTTCATCACTTTTTTATAAGTGAATAATATCACATCGTGTGTGTGTATAAACACCACATCTTTATCTGTTCATCAGTTGATAGGTACTTAAATTATTTTCATCTCTTGACTATTATAAATAGTGCTGCAATAAACATTGGCATACATATATCCCTTCAAATTAGAATTTTTGTATTTTTTTGGTAAATACCCAAAAGTACCACATCTTCTTTATCCATTCATCTACTGATGGGCACTTAGGTTGTTGCCAACCCTTGGCCATTATGAATTAGTTAGCTGATTATAAAGCTTTGATTCTGAGCTTCCCTGGTGGCACAGGGGTTAAAGTCTCAGCGCCATGAAGCTATCAGAAGTCACTGCAGCATGAGTTCATTCTCCTGCCAGGGAGCTGACCCACAATACACAGCAGACCTTTCCTGTCTCACCTGCTGCTCCCCTCAGCAGATCAGTAGATCTGCTTGGCCTGCTCCCCACTCTGTCTCTTGTGAGTGGTTACCCCTACACCTCTGGCCCATACCCCAGTTCTTGTATGCATAAATAAATAAAAATAAATCTTTTAAAAAAATCCTCAATTCCACAAAGTTGAAATTGAAATGTTACATTCTAATTTACCACAGTGGTGGGAGGGAAATGCACTAGACTATGGTGATGGCACATGGGTGATTTGGTGATTGGAATCCCAAGGGGATTGCAACTGAGATGGAAAAATGCACAAAATGATGTGAAAATAAACTATTATATATTAAATAAATAAATAACTTCCTATAAAAAATACTTATAAGTTTAAAAAAATTCTAATTTACCACAAGTTCTTAAAAAGTGCTTAGGAGACAGTAAAAATATCAGAAGCTTCATAACTGAACTTTTCACAAAAAGTTACCATTCATTGGGAAGCTATTTTTTTTTAATTGAAGTATAATTGATATACATCCTTGTCAGTTTGGGAGGTATAGAATCTCTCTCTTCAGGTGTAGTAAACATAGCACACCCACTACCAAAGTACCCATACCTTTAATAACAATCCATGTCTTAATCTTTTCAAAAGTAGGATATTTATTTGAGAAATAATTGTGATAATTTCTTTTTTCTTCTAAATTAATATGTGGGCCCTCCCTGGTGGCACAAGCGGTTGAAGTGCAGCACTGTGAAGTTATCTGTAGCCACTGCAGCACAACTTCCACCACTGGCCAGGGAGGTGACCCCACATGGCATAGCAGAACTCTCTTGTCTCCATCACTGCTCCCCTCAGCAGTGTTTCAGTGGGTCTGCCTGTTGTGCTCCCCACTCTCTCTGGTAAATCTTCTCACCTCCCATGCCCCCACCTCTGGCCTGAGCTCCAGCTTTTGTATGCATAAATAAATTAATCTTTTAAAAAGTTAATATTGTTCCCAGAATGTACTCTATACTACCTTAATCTTGCAGTCAAAATAATAATTATTAGACTGATGGATACAGGAGTCTTGGATTATCAGAAAGAAGTCACAGTGTCCCGAAGTCATTGTTGCCATTAAAAAAAAAAAAAGAATGTGGACGGCCAAACTGTGGTAAACCCAGTTCAAATTTAACCTCATTCAAGATACATATATAGTGAATTTTAAATGGCTTTGAAAGGTCTATGTTCTTTTTCCCAGCAAAGGTTTTTCTGTTTTGATGCTGCACTAGATGGAGGCCTTCCGCGCTCATGTAATCAATTCCGGGACACACTGTTTAAATGTTTCACGATTTATTTTCTTTTTTCTTTCCTATTATAGTGAGTCTCTTTACAACTTCATTTCCCATGTCAGAGAGAGCATTAATAGAGTAAGTATAGCTATATTTCAAGAAGTTTAGAAAATCTTTTATTTTCTAAAGACTTATTTATGCATACAAGAACTGGAGTATAGGCCAGAGGTGTGGGGGGTGAGAGGCTGCAGTGGTTGCAGATAGCTTCATAGTGCTGTGCTTTAACCTCTTGCTCCATCAGGGAAGCCCCAACATCTTGTATTTTTAAAATATTCGTACTTATCATACTGTTTTACTTCAGTTCTTATGGAATAGCAATGTTTTAACTCCTCTTTTAAAAGCCACTAAGTGACAATTCCCAAGCTAGTAGAATGAGCAACAGTTTGTGAAATTTTTCTTAATTTTGGATTTCTTAGTTGCAGACATCTGTGGAAAAATCTGAGGAATATCTCAGTTCAAGAAGTCAGTCTATTCTGGATTCTTTGGAGACAGTGGCCAAGACAGGTGAGTGCTTCCTTTTTGAGGTTATCAGCAGGGGGCACTCGAGGAACAGTAAACTGAACTTTGACCCTAACTTGGTTTCTACTATGGGTGAGGTTCCATACAGCAGTTCATACAGCAGTTCAGTTGAAAGAATGGGCACATGAGAATTTTACCCCTGAAAACTTGTGGAGGACTCTGGTAGTAGGACCTGCCTCTGTGTGGGAATGCCTCTGGTCCCTAGATGCCTTTTGTGAAACATTAATCCCCTCCTAGGAACCCTTAGCTCTGCCAGATTTCTTGCCTCATTGCCTGAATTGAATCAGCAGTATCCCTGAGTCCCAAATGAATTACTGGCTATAATACCTCTAAAAACACTACTCCCTTAGGATTTAGAAATACTCCAGTTTTCTGGCTGCCTTGGTTTCAGTGAGAACTGTTTAATAGTGAATCACAGCATATTTCTCAGTTCCAGTGGTTTATGGTTTGTCAAGTCCCCTGCCTGGCCAGTGAGTGATTTTTGTTTAGATGAAATAGAAAGCCATGGTGCTGGCCCTTACTAGCTGGAAGAGAGCCACAACATAACACAGCTCTTCTTGGGAGGAGACCTCTCAGGAACCAACAACTTCTCAGTTAAATAGCAAGATGATAACTGCATCTGTACTTGTTTGCATGTATCCGTGTGTTTGTTACTTTTTATTTTAAACAAATTGAAAATTCATTCAAATGCCATAGAATGGATTGCTCATGATTTACAAAAATTAATCCTTTTGTGGGGCCTAGAAATTAATCCCCATCTGTCAGTAAAGAAGCACTGTACTCTGCTGGCTTCCAATCTGGGTATCCCACATGCAGGGCAAATGTGCATCTGTTTGGAAATCAGTTCTGGAAGCTTAGGACTGTTACCCTCATAAGAAGTAACAAGACATAGAGAAGAAGCAAATAAGGGATGTTTCCTTTGTATAACATGATAGAATAACTCATCTGTAAGTGTCCAAGGAGCTTTTTTATTTTCTGTGTTTTTTGTTTGTTTGTTGCATTCCACATTTTTAACTGGGTGAAATTCAATAAGGAGTAAAGCAACAAAGGTAAAATATTTAAGGTCCAGAAAAGGAGATGGAAGTGCCTGATCTTCCAACACAGGATCTAGGCAGAGAGAGGGCTAGAACTTCTAGAACTTAGAAGGCTTATGTATCCTGACTCTTCACCCTGATGGTTTCTAAATTTCCAGCACCTAAGATTTAGGAAAGGGAGCTACACTGATAGGGAAAATAATAATAAATACTTCAGTATAATATTAAATAGAAATCTAGTTCAAGTAACCAAGCAGGTCTTCACCCCTTTAATTCATGTCCCAGTTTTGTCCAACACACAGGCCAGGAGCCCTCTCTTCTGTCCTCTTTCTTGAGCTCTTCTTCCCTCTTGTTCAATTTGCTGGTAACATGTAAGAAGACTGAGTACTACTCCACCCACCCCTTCTGATTCTGCTCATCAAAAGTACTACTAACATGCCATCCTGGTGGCACAAGGGGTTAAATCTCAGCACTGTGAAGCTTTGGCAGCCACTGCTGCATGAGTTTGTTACCCAGCCAGGAAGCTAACCTACATGGCACAGCAAACCTCTACTGTCCTGCCTTCTGCTCCCCTCAGTAGTATATTTCAGTCCATACTTGTTTTGTTGCCAGTTATTGTTTACCAAGTATAATATTGGATGGGTCTGAGGATTACAGTGAAATTGACCACTCACAACAGACAAGTCCAGGTATAGGTGATACCTTCAGCCTCTGCCCTCATCATCAAAGCACTCAAGGAAACTGTACAAGACAGAAAGAAGAAGAAAAGCATTGAGCACAGTGGAAATATCACTTTTGATGAGATTGTCAGTTTAGTCCTACAGATGCAGCACTGATCTTTAGTTGGAGAACTCTCTGGCAGCATTAAAGAGATCCTGCGGACTGCACAATCTGTGGGCTGCAATATTGTTGGATTTGACCCTTAAGATATTATAGATGGGGCCCTCCCTGGCGGTGGAGTGGGTTAAAGCACAGCACTAAGAAGCTAAAGCCACTTCAGCATGAGTTCTATCCCCACCCCAGAGGTGACCCACATGGCACAGCAGACCTCTCCTGACCTGCCTGCTTCTCTCCTCAGCAGTGTACTTCATTGATCTGCCTGCTCCTCTCCCCAGTCTGTCTCTGGTGAATCCGCTCACCACACCTGCACCTCTGGCCTGTACCCAAGTTCTGTATGCATAAATAAATAAATCTTTAAAAAAAAGATATTATAGATGGTATCAGCAGTGTACAATGGAATGCCAGTGAGTTAAGAGCTATAAAGAAAAGTGTTTCAAAAAAAGTATCATTTATAAACAAAGGGATAGTGGGAGACATACAGATGGCTAACAGGCACATCAAAAAAAAATCCATCATCTGTTGTTTGGGAAATGCAAATTAAAACCACAATGAGATATCACCTGACACCTGTGAGCATGGGTGTTAATCAAAAAGACAAGAAGCAACAAGTGCTGAGGGTGTGGAAAAAGGGGACCTATGTATGCTGTTAATGGGAATAAAACTGGTACAGCCATTGTGGAAAAAAATATGAAGATTCCCGAAAAAATTAAAAATAGAAAATACCATATAATCCAGGTATTCCACTTCTGTTATTTAGCCAGAGAATGCAAAAATACTAATTCATCCTTGCATCGGAGACACACAAATCTTGTCTGTATCATTCCAACTTCAGTATATGTGCTGCTGAAGCATATACCAAAACACTAATTCAAAAGATATGTGGACTGTATGTTCATCGCTGCTTTATTTATTCCCAGATGTGGAAACAGGATTGTAGTGGACACTCAGGAGTGTAGCATAACTCCTAAGCCTTCTAAGAAACCTATTTAATAGTTACCTTCCCTTCCTCTGCCTACAGCAACACCATCTTCCATTCCAGTTTTAAATTTCTACAATTTCTAGATGCACCATGAGATATTGTATCTACACTTGAACTATCAAAGATATTATCTATCACTGGAAACTTCGGTGCCTTTTTCTTTCAGTTGATATCAGAACAGAGAGAAAATGATTGCAAATTCATTTACCAAACTTGATAAATAATTTTCAGCAAGAAGCTGACTGATTGGAATTGACTTTTATAGTGAAAATGAGGCAGGAGTATTTAATATTACACTTTTAATAAACACTTAAAAATATAGCAGTTTTAATAAAAATTGTTCCAATTTTCTGGTTACATTCAGGAATAACTCATAGCACTCAGAGTTAACAAGTCATCACTTAAAGAAAGGCTAAAATTTGATTCCCGGAAAGTTTTGCTTCACTAGGATTTTTAGAAGAGAGCTGTGTTTGTTCTAATCTAGATACCAAAAGAAGGCAAGCTGGGCTTTACATAGGTATCAGCTTTTCTCAAATGAAATCACATAAAACAAATTAAAATAAAAAAGATATAAAGTCAACCTGAGTGTCTGAGTGGCCCTGATGAATGGATAAAGGTGTGGCATATGTATATACACAGATAAGTGCATGTATATACATGGAATACTAAATTATGAAAAAAATGAAATGTTGGCATTTGCAGGTAACATGGATGGACTTCGAAACCTTTCCTCCGTCTCTCATCAGTACAGCAGGGAGAGAAAAGATTAAAGAATGAAAGGAAAATCATCAACCCTCAGTGAAAAAATATCCCTTTCCAGGTTGCATCAAAATCTGATCTCTATTGGGCGTTTCTCAAATCACTAAAATAGGAACAACAAAAATAATTATCTCACAAGAAAACAGATATTGTCCAGAATATGATTTTAAAATGGTATCTTTGTAAAAGCAGAAATTAGTTCTTTCTAGAGAACACACACACACATGTTTTATTATCTATAAATGGATATGCACACCTATGAATGCAAAATTCCATAAACCTCGTAATGATAAATTCAGGAAGTAAACCAAGATCTCCGTGGGAGAAATTTGATTATTTAACATTGTAGGCCTATACATATATTCTGCTATGGCTTTGAATTATTTTCATAAATAAACTTTTTAAAAGAAAAAAAAAACAACAAAAAAAAAGCGCTAGACTTTGGAAGTAATGACCTTGATCCAAGAGAAGAGCCTCAAGATGTTTTCCAGGGGACAAGGAAAGAATATGCGAGTATCACAGATTTCTTCCAGAACACAGAATCTAGAACACTTGTTTTGCTTTCTTCATTCTCGGCTTTTGTGGTTGGTAATGTTCACTGTTGCTAAGAAGCACTGCTATTTAGGAACTCATCTAGGATAATTACATTTGCTTTCTTCTACAAATATCTACATGGGTATCTGGAAAAATATTTGACTAAGTTTAGGCAAAAAGAACCCAGTACTTGAAACATAAGTAAACAATCTTCTAACTGAATGACACATGGAATTTTTTAAATAATAGTTTATTTTTATATCATTTTGTGCCTTTTCCCATCTCAGTTGTAATCCCTGTGGACTTCCCATCACTAATGCACCCATATGCCATCACCATAGTCCTGTGCACTCCCCCCCGCCATTTTTGATCCCATTCCCCACTCAGCCCTGTAAAATGTCTCTGGTACATAGTTGTTTCATTATTATTTACCCCCATTCCCACCCCAAGTCCTTTATGCTCCTGCTATGAGTGAAACCATCCGGAATTTTTCTTTTTCTTTCTGGTTTATTTCACTAAGCATGATCCCTTCCATCCATGTTGCTGCAAAAGGCATGAGTTCATCTTTTTTGATTGCTGAGTAATATTCCATGGTGACACATGAAATTTAACTTGTGAAATATTAGAAAAATTTTGCCTTGTAAAAAAATATTTTAAAAATTGTGGTAAAATACATAGAACATAAACTTTACCATTATTGTTTTTGCAAGATCACATCGGCTTGTCCTCTTAGCCATAATAAGTTTTTTCTTACCTCAGAACTTTTGTACTTTGTTTCCTCTTCCCCTAGTCTTTGCAGGGCTAACTCCTTTCTATCATTCTGGTTTCATCTTAGATCT